GCAAGATGGCGGAATGGCGATGTCGCCCACGCATCTACCGGCAGAGGAGGTCTTGGGGATGATCGGCGAGGTGCTGCCTCCTGGCAAAAGCTAGGGACATGGACAGGAAACGGCTAAATCAAAAACCGGTTGCGAGCAAAACGCTCTCCAAAGGCTTCGTTTCCCTCCGATGTGGGAGACCGTCACTTCTCTTTCTGCGAGTGGGAGTTGAACATTGACCCAGGAGGTCCCTAAATGGTTGGTTTCCTTTTGGTTCCACACACATACTAACTGCCAACCAAAACCGTGGCTTCTCAGGCATGCCAACCGCAAGAGCGCGGCAGACCCACTGCGCGGCAGCTTGCTCTCGGAGGACGAGGCGAGATCGAAAGCGGATGCTTTTGGTCGTCTCAATTTCAACTAGGGCTTCGGTGGCGCGAAAAATGGTGGGGCGGACTATTGAGGGGTGTTTTGACCAACTCGGCGAGCTACCATCCTTACTCTATGTATTTTGAGAGGTCAGGTTTTCCATGGGCCCTTTTTCAGTGAATACCCGCCCCACAAAAAAGGGGCGCCTGTAGAAGTAGGAGGGGGGTTGTCTAGGACAAGCATTTTGGGCTTTGAAAGGACACCAAGGTCATCTACCCATTTTGCAGCTTGCAATATTCACCCTGGTTGTCTTTGACTTGGATGGCGGGCCCTTCTTAACAGGCATCGGGTTGCCTTTGCCTCCTTCAGCTTCCAGACGGTAGAGGGTCATTACCCCGGAACTCCTAGCAACACTCCGAAAGGGAAGCTGAATTGTCAACTTCTCGTTGGATTGGGCTGAAATGAGTCCACTGGTCCCTTGGGGTTTGGGGCGTTGGCCCAACTTTGACCCCACAAAAGCCACGATTTCTCCCAAGCCCCAAATGCGACACCCAACTGCGACGCCACCGTCTTCTCATTTCCCCAGACACTCCACCAACAAGGGGCTTTTCCAGAGGCTTCCTTGCGTCAAGCCTCTGATAAAGGCCGCCTCTCCTTCCAAGACTTCCGACACCCCCCGCGCCCTTGCTGAGGCGGCGCTGCTGGAGTGCTCCAAGGTGCGGCTCATGGAGCTGGGCTGCTCCTTCGAGGAGACGGCGCTGGGCTATTGGCCCCGTGGTGAAACACACCGCGTCTCTCGGGCGCTTTGTGGTCGGGTACCCTAGGGTAACCGAAATTTTCTGAATGCCGCGATGCTTCTGGGGGCCTCTTTTTGTGTATTCTAGAAGAATAACACACAAGTTGGGTCTTTTGCAGGGTATTTGGGAATTCTCCTTCATTTGGTGGTTTGTAGGGGGTGGGTTTGAAGAAAGGAACCCTATTTTAACACATTATACCGTACCCAAATAGGGTTTTAGGCTGCTGCTTGCTGCGGTGCCAACAAAAAACCTCTGGAAAAGTGAGCAACTAGTGGGAGTGACCTTTTGGTATCACACAAGCTTAGGGTGATTTGCGGTAGGTATCTGAAACCTAGGGGTTTTGGGGGCTCGAACCCCATGTTTACGCAAGGGGTTTCACATTTGGGAAAGGAGGCAGTGGACCGGGTTTCTCAAAACCAGCCCGGGATTATCAAATGAACGGGTTGGGATCTTATCGCAAGGTTGTATCTGAAGTCAAAGAGCACTTCTCGTTTTGGGGTCCCTTTTCGCCCTTGGGCCGCCCTTATAAACTGGCCCCCGCTAGGGCACCCAAACTTTCAAAAGAGTGTTTTTTGACTCCAAGGAGACACAAAACACCCATGAGGCTAAAAATGACTAGGGAAATCCTTAAAGTGGTAGGTGGACACGGAAAGTGGAAGGTGGACACGAATCCCCCCACCTAAATGATGTCCACCACAGGGTACTCCATATTATATTGATGACACCAGGAGGCACTTAAAAGGCGTTGCGCGTTCTCGCGGGCTCGTGGTTTTCTGCGAGGTTACGGAGAATTCACGAGGGCGAGGATGGAACCAGGTCTACGTGCTTCGTGAACACTGCCTCGTGCTCCGGACTCGAATCTGGGTTTGTGTCAAAATGGTGGACCCCAATCATGGTGGCTTTTCTTTTGGTTTCTCATTTAAGACAGCCCCGCAAAGGATACCCTCAAAAACGACTCACCAATGTGTCCCGTTGTATCCAGCTTAAGGTGAGTTTTCTTTGGGGTGATGTTTAAAGGGGAACACAAGGACCCCTGTGAGTGTTCAAGGGCGTTGAGACGGGAGGTTCCCCAAGGGTTTCTTCGGGGGTCCAAAAAAGAACCCAGAGGGCGAGGTGAGTTTCGTCGTTTTCGATGCCAAATACACCCGTGGACTGAGAAACTGCTGCACAAAGGAGTGGAGCCATGTGGAATCCAGAGTTGCATCTGACATGTCTAGAACGAGTGCTATGTGTCAAAGGCTGAATGTGTACATCCTGAAATCATTACCGTTCGCCGAGGCTGGAGGTGGCGTCCTCACCTAGCGGGCGGCAGCTGGATGTGTCGGAGCTGTTGGTGGAGGCGGAAGGAAATGGGTTTGACCCACAGCCACAGTGACTATGACGCATTTTCCCTGATGAAAATGTGGTTCCCCTTCAAACCACCCCAGAATCAAAAAGGGTAAGGTGGATGCAAGTGGCTGCGGCTCAAATTATAAGGTCCGGATCAGAGGTCTGGCACACAAGCGATCCAGACCCCCGATCCAGACCAAAACGCAGGTGATCCAGACCGATCCAGACGTCCGGATCACCGCGGAACGATCCATAACTGTTTTTGAGCCATTGCCAAGTCAGGGACAAGGAGACCCTCTAGTTTACAGTGTTTCACCAGTCGTGACCACAGTTGGACATGGTGAATAAACGCCTCCACATGAGGGTCATAGACAGCTTTTGTGGTATACAACCTGCATATTCTCATGGTTTATATGTTGGTGACATGGTGGATTCCACAATACGCCTCCACGGCAAGATTGTTTGCGTCTCTAAATGGGGGAGCGCCTAACATTCCCATCTGTGGCTGTGGAGCGAAGATCCGAGCGGGAGTGCCGGAACTGTATGTTGTCCCGAGATAACCCCTCAACCATCGAGTGGGAAGTGGTCCCCAGCAGCACCCAGCAACCTGCAACAAATTGGCAAATTCCGGCAAACCATCCAAGTTCTTTCCATACAAAACCCAGCGCATTCCGGCCAATCCCGGCCAACTTTGGTAAGCGCCTGTCCAAAAAATGGCTTCCGCTTTTGGCAGGTGGACAAGCTGCTTCCGCCGGGCGAGGGCTCGGAGTTCGAAGAAAGCGAGTACCAGGCTTTCGAGGTGGAGCCGGAGGCGTGGCTCTTGTGCTTGGGCGCAGGCTTTGGGCAACGGATCTTTGCAAGTCAAATGAGCCCACGAGCAAGCTCTCGGGATTTAGGTTTGATTCCTCCATGTATCGGGAGGCTTGGTGTCCTCTTTGGGGTGTTATAGGGAAACAAAGGACCCGCGATGCTAACTTGGTTTTGGTTTGTGGGGAAGGGAAACCTCAATGAGTGTCAACAGGTACTCCCACGCGAGGGGAACCCCAGAAAACCGCAGGTTTTAGTCCATGTTTCCATTTACCAAGCCATTTTGGGGTTCCCCGATTTTTGAGCCGCGAAAATCCATTTGGACCTAACGTTTTGAACCGGTGCCCGATGGATCTCCGCAGGGCACCAGCACCTTCGGCACCTCCGGCGGCGTGCCCATGGCGCAGCGGCCGCAGGTGCCCACGCTGCGGCGCCCGGGCTCCAGCGCCTCGCCCAATTTGCCGGGCCGAAGCGGATGGATCCGCTGGAAAAGCCCGGTGTAAGACTGGATGTTAACCCAAATCCTTGGTGGCTCCCAGCCATCCGGTTCCTCAGCTTTTTAGGCCTTGTTAGTGCTTAGTGGTAGTTTCCATTTAACCCACTAAGGGTTAAGCTTTTGGCGGGGGTTTTGAGGGCAGCCCAGAATTGTGCGGCTTTGAATCCGTGGGCCAAGCTTTGAGGGGACCTGTTGGTTTTGGATTTCTGATCTTAGGTCATGGGCAGTCGAGCATGCCCTGGAAGTACTTCATGCAGATCACCTTGGCGACCATCACCGTGTGGCTCTGCACCACCTTGCCGCCCGCCTCAACCCCTCAACTCGCAAAAACCACCGCCCCAACGGTGGATGATATTGCAAGTAAGGGAAGCACGCCGATTCTCTATTCTTCCATGGTTCACTGTGGTTGTCCGGTTGAGTGTGGGTTGGTGTACACGCAAAGTATCTATAATTCCTTGTATATTAACATGGGTATGGGTCAAGATGGGGAACCTTTGTGTGGTTTGCTGCTAAACCAGACAAAGACAAGAACTGTTTTTGACCTTCCAGAACCTCCATGAGCTCAGTGGGGAGCGGAGGCTAACTCAAGGACTCGGCGTGCAAGCACGCTGCAAATGCCGCCGTACAAGAAGCCACAGCGCCGTTTATATTAAGGCCTGTGAAAACCTGTATAGGCTCTGGACGCTCATTTTCGGGAAACCGTGACCGCTTCGGCCTAGGTACTGCGTGTGCACCGTGGGCCGCACAAGTGGCATGAAGCGCAAGCTGCTGCAAGGCAAAGAGGGGCCCTGGCCCCACGCTGCCTTCGTGCGCCGCGGCAAGAAACGCACCGAACGTTTCCCGGAGCTTGGAACTGCCAGAGCCGCAACAGGCAGTTGGGATGGCTCTCCAAGACAAATCGCCCAGGCTGTTGGAAAGAATTTGCTTTCGTTTTGGTGCGGCATTTCTGGCTTGGTGACATGGGGTGTCATTATGGCACAGCCTCCTTCGGAGGGGGACCTCCCAACGCACCATCCCCCAAGACAACTTGCAAAGGACGCAGCACGCCTTGTTGGCTCTTTTGAAGCCGCTCTTCTTCTTCTTCTTCTTCTTCTTCTTCTTCTTCTTTCTTTTTTTTAAAGAAAAATAATAGGGGCAGAGTTAACAAACCTCCCACCTGGCCTTTGCACCTATGACATGTTGCACCAGTGCATTACCTTTCCGCGGGATTTTCCGCGCATTTCCTTGTTCACACTATTTCCTCTTGTTGCACGTTTCTTGCCTCGTCTCTTTCGCTGGAATTGTGGCCTGCGATGGAAGAGCGCATCATTTAACAGGCATATTCGCGCGTGGCCAATCAAGGAGCAGTTGGGCCTCGCTGGAAAGTGCTCGTGATGCAAGCTTAAAGTGACCAAGTAGTTGGGGGGATGGCCCATTTTGGTATAGTGGGTCATTCTTCGCAACCATGCCTTGACGAAGGCTATGTTGCAAGTACGACCGGGCGAATGTAGGTTGAATCCGGATTTGTTTGGGTCAAGCAGCCGCCTTCACCCTCAACGATCGTGATTGTCCCACAAATCAGAAAGGGTAAACCTACACGGGTTCATGGAGTCTGCACTACCTTTGTCCGCTTCATGGTTGCATTGAGCAGGTTTTTTGTCAAAGTTACTGTGGATGGACAAAATCCTGCAATAGATGGATGACACCCTATGAATAATTAGTGAGACACACCACCTATAAATTGGTGCAGGATTTCGTCCATCCGCTGTAGGGAAGCTCCCAACACCCAGCAAACAACAACGGCAAGGCATTTGGTCCGCCAAATGCCCAGACACCAAGATACGGGGTCAAAACCAATGGTACCATTCTGGTGTTGGTGCACCACCCATTTTAGTCTATTTAGTGGGGATTGGGATGTTCACTGGGGGGTACTGGATTTTGACCCATGGCCATATCTCCTTAGTCTCCATTGGTATCTCAGCGAGTTTTCAGAAACTGGCCCAGGCCATCCGCGGTGGCTTGCGATGGCCAGCGGCTGCTTCTCAGCAGCTCGCCGCTTCCGTGGAGACACAGAGATTATTTTGTAGCAGGAACCCTACAAAACCAAGACCTGAAAGGAACAAGGTTGCCCAAAATTGAGTCTAGGCGTTTCTGGAGTGACTCTTTCGTTTCTTTTGAGTAATGCAGCCATTGGCCCGCTGGATGGTGTTTTTGAGGCAAGTCAGAGTGTTCTCAAGGCCCCTAAGACATGGCGGTCGTTCCGAGCCTCCAAAATATAGTCGAACCTTAAGGATACACAAACGTCTACCCACTCAGCGGCTTTTCATCCCGTATATGTGGCACTTGAGCCCATGTCTACCTTTGTGCCGTTTTTGGAGTGCCAATGTCCACCGGGCGGACGGTCGGAGGCGACCGCTTCTCCGTGCATTCGGCGGCGTCGGCTTCGGCGCCGCTGCGCTTCGACCGCGAGCGGCGGCTCGAGCTGAGAAGTCTGGGCGCGGCGCGTGGCCGCAGCTGGGCGCTGGAGGCGAGAGGTGCTGGTGTTCGGCTTCAACCATCAACTTTTCTTCACCAAATGGCTGGGCAGGCACTTCGGCTTCCACAGCTGTTTGGGGGTTTGGTCTTCACCAAATGGTTGGCTGACGGATTCTTTTCGTACTGCCAAGTGAGACGTAGCTAAAAATACCAGGCAGCTGTTCCAGCGGCGGTTTCACCGGGTTTGCGTCCGTCGATTTTTCGTACCGGGCCTCGTTGCCGAGGGCCCCTCTTTCCGGCTTGTCGAGGCCGGGGGCCTGGCCGTGGCCGAGCTCGGGAGCGGCAGGCGCTGGCCGGCGGGGGGTGAGCTGCGGAGCATGGCGGTGCTGGAGGAGGAGAGCCGATCGTAAACTCCTTGCGACCGGTGCTGAAGATCGGTAGGGAACCAGGGAATAGAATGAAACCCAAGTTGGTCCTCTAGGAAACCGCCGGTGGGATGGTTTGGACGGTTCATTGCCTCAGCAAGAAAAATATTGGACCCAGTGGCAGTGGTATTGAGGTCAACTTCGACTGACATGCCATGCTCAAGCAAGACTCTATGAACCCATAAGGATATCACTGAGGTCATTTCTGACGTCCCATGATGGATTGCAATAGCCCCCCCGAAGGGCAATGCAACAGAGGGGAACACCCCCGTCGAAGGAATCGGACCATTTTCCAACGGTTTCTTTGTTAATGTTGAAACGCATGTGGAAACATGAACTGTGTTTGCAATGCTTGACCATAATGGCGCATGCCATTTTGGCTCAAGCTTTGCCCTGGGTTCTTTGAACCCAATTTGTGTGAAAAAAGATTTGAGTTGGAACACCCCCGAACTAACCCCGATCAAGCAATGGCTTCCTCGGCAACCTCGGCAACCTCCTTCGAGCTGATTGAGGACCAGACGCTCACCGCGGAGGAGGTGGAAATGGCCAGCCAGGAGGCCCAGGAAATCCGCACACGCGAGGCGGCAGTGGCGGCCGGCCTGGTGTTGGACGAGCCCGAGGCCCCCCCGTCGGCTTCGGCTACCGATGTGATGAACGACCTCTCCAGCGCACTGGAGCGTCTCCGTGTGGCGTTTGCCACACCGACTTCCGGCTTGGGTGCCCCTGGCCCCGCCGAGGAGGAGGACAAGGACATGGAAGATGCGGACGCCACGGAGCGGGCTACTCCACCCACGAAGAGGCTGAAGGGTTTCGTGGCGGCTTCCCAGAAGACCACGGCTCATGTGAACAAACCGGTCTCCCTGGTGCCGGTGGAGGGCCGTCCCGGCTACTTCAAGTTAGTGGACCTCCCAGACCTTTTCCCGAATTTCCTTGGGCACTGTTTGGTACTGGCTCAGCACTGTTTAGAATGGGCTTAGTATGAGCTTCCTTCAAGGCAGGTGGCCCTGTCTCCCCTTCGGAATCCCTCCCCCTCCCCCGCAGCCCCATGAGTGGTGGTGGGTCTGGCGCCTGGAAACGGGCAGGTTGGATGCAACAACCTCAGATATTGCCAGCCTCAAAAACTGTTTTTTGTTCAATCCACCTGGAGAAAAACACAAACTTCTTTTATCCACCTGGAAACAAAATAAGCTCAGGTGGATTCAGGTGGTATTCCTAGGAATGTATCTGCTCGCTGCGTCTCAGACTTCAGTTCTTCACGACGTCACGGTGGAGGAGGCGGTCTCCCTGTTCCACAAGTTTGTCGGGAAGAATCTCACGGAGGACTTGGTGATTCGCATCCTGGAGGCCTATGTTCCGATGAAGATCCAGATCCGGCAGGAGGAGGTCTGGGCCTCACAGTTTCAGAGGAACAAGGCGTGCATTGGCACCCAGCGGATGCACAGACTGATGCAGGCCACTCAGATTACAAGTTCATGTGCAAGGCATGCGGCACGGGGTGGCCGGAGGCAGCTAAACAATGCTGGGTCTGCCCAGGCAAGGAGTTCGTCCCCTTCCAGGCGGACGGCGTCACTTACAACCTGCTCATTGTGGAGGGCTGGATCCAGCAGCGGGAAGGGGGAAGCCTGGGTGCCGCTGGCCCCGGTGGTACCCGGGCACAGGCAGACCGCAACCTGGTGGACGGCACGGTCCTGGGGAGAGCTCCTCCGAAAACGGACACGGCAGACGAGATCACCATGGCAGACGTGGTTCCCGCTCAACAGGCGGGTGGACATCCGGCAGGAGATCCTGTCCATGGAGGCGGACGACGAGGCGTTGAAGGTCCGGGAATGCCAGGAGATCAAGGTCAAAGTGCAGCGGTCCCTGAAGGAGGCGGAGGCTCAGAGCTTCCAGCTCTACCACCCCCAGGTGGACCAGGCGATCCGGAAGAAGGAGGAGCTGCATAAGGCCTTGAGGGAGCACCGGGAACCGACCCCGGAGGAGTCCTCGGCCAGGCGGCACAAGGAGTTGGTCACGGAGGAGATGCTGGACAATGAGATGGCTATCCTGGCGCCTCTCCAGGAGGGCATGCAGGCCCTGCCGTCAGAGGAGGTGGCCAATGAGGGAGCCCGTGCCCTCAGGAAGGTCAACCACGAGCGCAGCGAGGTGCTCATCGATCTGGGTCACACGGGCCTACAGGGCGAACGCACTCCACCACTCCCTCATCAAGTTTGACGAGTGCCGGTGGTTGTGAAGTCCACGACATTGTCAACGGACCTTCCCCTTCACCATTGGCATGATCTGCGGTGCAACCACGGGGCTCACCCCAGGGGGGGAAAAGCTCAACTCCAGTGACCTCAGCCGGTACCCAGAGCAGATGATGCAGGGTCTCGCAGCGGCCATCCTTTGCCGAGCGGGACCCGTCCTGGAGGCGGCCGGGGGGCACGGCGCCCCAGGCGAACCCCACGACCCCCCCGAGGCGGCAGAGGGAACCTTCTCCCAGCACGCCGGGGGACAACAAGCGCCAGTCCCGGAGGCTGAAGGCTGGCCAACAAGCGTTGGCGGGCTTAACCTTGGGCTCACTTCCGGTCTCGGCCTCGGACAATCCGGAGGTCCGGACACCGACACAGCTACAGGACTGGTGAGACGGACGAACTTCGGGGGGGAACTCTTTTCCCTGAGCCATGGGCACACCATGGCATGGAAATCTCGGATCGGCCCACCACCCAAATCTCTCCGACAAGGTCATGTACCTCCAGATGGCCTTCAAACAGCGCCCCCTAAGGGACGGAGGGGGAAAGCCCTCATTGGGATGGTTGGCCCCATGGACCCGGCCACTGTCCAAAGCAGCAGCGATGGGGGCCAAGTCGCTCTCGTTGGGGGACGGGTCACATCCCTTCCCGGAGGACCTGCTGGAGGATATCAGGGAGATTCTGGCGCCGGGGGCAGGCCGACCAGCTGACGGCCAACCCTTCTTCCTGGACATCTTGCAAGCGTGGCGCTGAACAAGGCCCGACCAGTTTCCTCGGGATCTGGAACAAGGGGTCCCACTACTGGGGGTCACGGACCCACCCCTGACCTCGCCACTCAAGAAGGAGCTGAAAGGGGAGGAGCCGGAGTTCCAGGAACTCCCTCACCCTAACTACCCCTCGGCGGATCACTTCAGCGAGCTCATCCGGGGCACATTCCTGGAGGAGGTCCCCATGGGCATGGTAGAGGGCCCCTTCACTAAGGTGGAGGCAGCATCGCGCTGTGGCTGCGAAATCGAGGACCTCTGTCCCGGCCCCCTAGCGGGCATCGACGAGGGGGACAAGATCCGCACCATCTACGATGGCTCGGTGGGCGGGGCCAACGACACCATCAGGAACCAGACGGTGGAAAGGACGACGGCTCCGACGGTGCTGGATGGGGTACAAGCTCTTCATTGGCTACATGCGGCAGCTGCGGAGGGACCCCCCTCTCAGGGTGCCCCTGGCCCCGAGAGGGAGGTCGTCAAACCTCCACCTGGGGGCTGGCTATGGCCGGAGCCGGGCACCAGGTGGGTGCTGCTCAAGGCGGACGTCACCAAGGCCCACCGGAGAGTGAAGGTCCTCAGGAAGGACTGGCGGTTCCAGGTGGCCTCACTGGGGGAAGAATGGTGGGTGAACAAGGTAGGCACATATGGCATGGCCAGTGCCCAATCCTACTGGGGACGCCTGGCAGCCCTTCTACTCAGGGTCCTCTACGCACTTTTCCCTCAAGTGGATTGGAACTTCGTCTTTGTCGATGACTTCCTGTGGCTGCTTCGAAGCGAGGGGGCAGTAAACTTGGCGGTGGCGCTGCTGGCAACACTCCTGGCCTTGGGCACCCCGCTTAGCTGGAAGAAGACGCATTTGGCGGAGGTTAACACGTGGCTGGGTTTCGTGGTCCACCCGAACATCCCGCAGGTTCTCATGGCAGCCAACAAACACATCCTGGTTATGGAGGTTTTGCAGACCATGGTGGAAGGGCAGGCGATGCACTCAAAGGACATCGAGAAGGCCCTGGGTCGCATCCAATGGGCGACTGCTGCATGTCCGCTGGCGAAGTCGATGCTCCAGCCACTTTGGGCCTGGAAGATGGCCACCACCACGGTGGGGAAACCCCCCAAGGTGGTCAGGATGCTGGCGTTCATGCTGCGGTTCCTCTTCAACACGCCCTTCGTCCAGTACTCCCCTTACTTGCCGAAGTCCTCTTGGTGGGGTTGCAGCGATGCTAGCGCCTCGGACGAAGGACTGGCATTTGTGGGAGGTTGGTGCTCCAACAAAGTGGAGCCGGAAAAGAAGGAGGTGTACTGGTTCCACGAGCAGATCCACGTGGAGGAGTACCCTTGGGCATTCAAGAATGGGGATCCCAAGCGGAGGATTGCGGCTCTGGAGATGCTGGGCACGCTCTTCCTCTGTAACATGATCCTCACGCACCAAGGCCCTCTGTCCTCCCGGGTCCGACTCCCGGTGGGCAGTGACAATCAGGGCAACGTCATGGCGATGCTCAACCTTGGATCCAAGAAGCCCTACACGGCGGCGATCCTGATGGAGCTGGTCTTCCTGCTCCACACCCATGGCTGCTCGCTGGCGGCCAACCACGTGCCCCGAGAATTCAATCAATGGGCTGATGAGCTGACGCACCCAGATTTCTCTGGGTTCGACCCTTTGCACAGGGTCCCCAAACAGGAACTCTGCGAGGAGTTCGTTTTTCTCCCGCGTCTCCTGAATGGAGATGCATTTGATCTTAGCGTGGGCCCACCCATGCTCCTGTGACCGGAGCCGGTGGGTGACTCACTTCCCCTGGTGGCAGACCCCTCTGTGGCCTGGGTGCCACGGGCCCCGGCTCAGGGGCGGGCGCTATCAGTCTGCACACCCATTCTTCAGTTTTTGAGATTGTGAGTTGGGTGGCCCATGGGGCCCACCCAGCCTTTGACATCTGACAGGGGAAGATGAGTCCCTGGCACCAACACACTGCTCGGATAAAAGAGTTATCGCGTGCTTGGTTAGCTTGCATACACAAATTGGTCTCGTGTTTTGGTTGTTAAGAGGTCCCCCTATAGGAGGAGGGAAGCGAAGCCTTGGCATTCTTTAGTAGGTACAAGGTCGCAGAAGGACTGATAAAGTTGATACAGTCGGTGCTAAGGCTATCCCAAGATGATGGGTTTTGTTTCCTTTCGGCGTTTTGGAGGGCTTCGATGGATTCGGCGTATTGCGTTTAGCCTTTTGAATGGATTTTGTACTATTCAGGGAGCCGCCAGATCAACGAACCGATTTTCTCCTGGACATTGTAGGTGATTAAAGCCTACACAGTAAACCCCAAGGGCATTTTGTCGAAAAATACCCATAGCCTTTGACACCATGCTGGTAGAACCAAGAGTCAATTGGTGACACGGGCGCTCAATTGACCCCCCTTTATAAGAATGGCCAATGGCCATGGACACGCTGGATTTTGTGCAAACCATGGAGGTCAAGGAACAAGTTGCGAAACACTGAACTGGTATCGCCTTTCGTTTCGGGATATGCACCGCAGGTTTTGGTCTACTTTTCCATTGACCAGGGTTCCATTTCGGGAAATCCCCGGATCTTTGAGGCACATCCCGGCAGTTTTCTCATGCGTTGCAGGACCTCGCGCGCGCAGGCTGCGGCGAGGTCTCTTGGGCCGTGCTGGGGGTCCGGGGCGCGCCGGAGGCAGAGGAGGGGTGGGTTGAACGGGGGTTGGCTTTTGGGTGTTTTTGGCGGCCGCGTTTTTTTTTGTTGGTTTTGAACGGGCCTGGGATGGAGCGTTTTGGAGGATCAACAGGAGACCCCCCCCCCTTCGTTTCAACAAGGGACACGCAGCTCTCTCCGTCGCTTCGAGTGAGGAGACGCATGCATGCCCGGATCTGTGTTTGAAGAACAGCAGTGCTTGCGGTTTGGTTCCGATCTTTTGTAACAGGTGCCTCAGAGACGGGACATTTGTTGGACTGGTCTATGGTTTCGTTTGTCCAACTCCAATCTGTGTGCCTTGTGGTTTTTCCTCGCGCACGAACGTTTCCATGTGAATGGGGATCTGAAGTCGCGACTCTCCGCGGCTTTCCAGGAGGTCCTGGTGCTCTGCCCGCACGAGGAGCTCCAGGAGCTGGTGCCCAGTAGCCACTGGGGAAAAGCGGGCGGCAACGTCTTTTTTGACCCGAAGGTTGACGAAGGTTGACGAAGGTTGACTTCTAAACCGACTAAAAAAGAACAGCCGAAGAACTGGCTTCAAGTCTCTAGGCCCAAGAAAATAGGCGTCCATTTCGCGCCAGAGATGGAACGCCTAGGAACACAGGGAGAAACCACCCTGCAGCAGAATTTGTCTATTCGCAACAACATCCCCTTTGTTCCGGGATATTCTGGCAGGACCAATCGAGTTCCTTCTTGTGGGATGAGAGGGGTGGAACCCGGCACTTCGCCTTTTCAGGCCCCCTTTCAAGCGCAACACTAGTCTCACTCGTCCAAAGCGAATCGACCCTGTTTGTCCATACTTGGCTCCGAAAGGTAAATCCCCCAAAACATAGCCCCCCATTAAAAGCGACTCAAATAGACCACAAGTGGAGTTCTTTGCCTGTTTGGCACCGAGCTCACTCAGCCACTTGCTAGGTTGGTGAGTTGTGGTACAACATGTTGTGATCATTTCAACTTTCCCTGTTTTTGGCTGGTGAAGCCACCGCACTGAAAGCGGCGAGGCCAATGTTGTTTTTTCAGCGAGATAGTTCTTGTGGGATGATTTCTACAGGTTGGACATATATCTTCCTCTTCCCGCTTTTCCCTTGAAAAGGCCCGCTGTCAGGTCCCATGTGAGGAGGGAGCTTGGGTGTTCGGCCAAAATCAACACAACCCACTTGTAGTCCCAGGTGGCGTTAGCCCTGTTGCTAGTGGGTTGCAACCCAGGCCAACCACTCACTTGGCCAAATGTCCGAGTTGGAACCCTGATTCGTTTCAGGCTTGGAAGACATGGCCCAGCTGCCACCGCCCATGGAGAAATCCGACATAACGTGTGGCATCTGAGTAACTGTGTGCCCGCTATTTTTCCCCCAGGTTCTGACGCGGTGCGGTGCTTCCTTTTTCGACTTTCTGCTTCTTTTCTCTAGAGGGCATGTCTTTCTCCCTGCAAATCGATGCCTGAATAAAAAGCAGGCATCCTCACAGGCGTTTCAAGTTCTGAATCGGGGAGTCCGACCCTCCGAAAGAAAACACATGGCACTGCACAGGTTCTCTGAGGAAAAACTCTTGTTCCGAGAAGGGCTTGACCTTGCCATGTTTCCTGCTGGAGGGGCCTCGACCAATCTGAAGAGAACCAGCCAATAATAAGTCCCCCGTCCTGTGGAAACGAGGCCGTTGCACATCCACTACCTCAAAATTGCGGTTTTCCTGTTGGTTTCCGTTTAAACCGACCTTGAAAAGGGTACCAACTCAAAAACACGGTGACACAATGACACAGACGCAGACGCAGACTTGCAGAAACAGACGCACAGATGCAGAGACGCACACGTTCGCACGTGCCCCAGCCCACGCCCCCCGCGCCTGCGCCTGCGCCCGTGCTCGCACACATCTATGGTTTCACCTGTTTTGATGGGCATGCCGGCCAGATCTATTTCGCCGAGGACGGGTCTTCCATGTGTTGGACGGGGGCGAAACGCGGGGCCTCCACATGACAGCGACGCATCTGTGGCTTTTGAAGCAGAGCGTCGGGCTCGGCGCTGGCGCGCCTGCGGCCTGGTTGGCCACTTTTCCGCATTTCGCGTTGGGGGGAAATAATGGCTCACAGTGGAATCTCACCATGATATAGGTCCTTTACTCAGGGATTGGAATTCCTGTAGAACTTGGCAGGGTAGACCCCTTTAGCGCCAGGTTTTGATTGTGGCATTCAAAGGTGTTGGAGAGGCGTGGACATTGCCTTTTGGCGAGCGCCCGGCCGGCAATGGATGAGGTTCGAGAGAACTTGGAGACGGGGGAGGTGGACACCCACAACCTGCCCAAAGGTCACCGTCTCAGAGCGCCGGAGGAGGTCCTTGACTTTGTCCGCAGTATGTTCACATCATCTCATGTGCATTGCTAAATTGCGTTTCCTTGGCGATGTTTGAAGGGCGCCTGAACTGCGGAGGTTTGAGCCCATCTCTGCCTAACAGAATACAAGTTGGGAATTGGCACTTGGGTTTCCCGGCTCCGATTGCGGGTTGGGAGGCTTTGGCTTTGCGGGTCGAGTTAGTTGGGATTTTTGGGTTAGGTCCACCCCCCCTTCACAGTCCCGCTTTTTCGGATATGCGAACCCCGAGCCCAAGAATATATATTTGTCATGAAGGGCCTTCGACATCTGCCCGAACTAGAACGGTTATTTCTGCGGC